CTCCGGCGGCCATATTGAAAGCTGGCAAATCCAGACTTGTGCGGCCTCCGTCGGAAGTAGGCGGGAGATTTCCGGAGGCGGGTCAATGGCGGCCTATAGAGAGGGGAGAAGTTCCAGGTCGTTATGTGTCATCCTCTATTCTTTGTCCCCTTCTAACAGGTAACAATCAAGAGCCTGCACAACCTCCAGTACTGCAGCTGGCACCGTACAGAGAGCTTCTGCTGCCAGTAGCTCATATCAATCTGTATATACATCTACCCTTCCCCCACATATCCCAGGGGCACCCTACACCACCCCTTCCCCACACTTCAGTGTAGTTGGCGGCGGTGGTAAGGTGACACCGCTGTCTTCTGTTCTGAGACTGTCTCACATTGGCGGTGGAATGGTGAAGAAGAGCTGAGTCATTCGTGCTGTTGAGAAGATAGGATGTGGTCTGAGTGAATCTATAGGCCACAAAGTTCTTTTCGAGGTCCCCAGGCAGGCCCAGTAGACGTGGAACCATTGGACCTTTCTCATGTGCTGGATCTGGTACTACAACATGTCCAATTCTCCCCTTTTTTCCCCAGATGATTTGACCCCTGATTGATGCAACAGAAACCGAGTCCAAAGCCACTTGTATGGTGTTCTGGCCGGAAATTCTTCCACAACGCCACCCAGGATGGAGAATAAGATGACCGAGAGGATACTGGACCTCACCCTGGAGATCATCTGCCTGCTGACCGGAGAGGTGAGGAGGATTCTGGGAGGGTCATGTGATATCACTATTCTATTCATAACACAGACCTGACCGGAGGGGTGAGGAGGATTCTGGGAGGTCACATGACCTGACCGGAGGGGTGAGGATGGGTTTACGGAAGGTCACACGTCGGCACTCTCCTGGTTTATTACTTTACTCATTTCTCAGAAGTGAAGGATCCTGGGAGTCCGAGGTGACAACGTTGCTGCTCTTTCATTACAGGATTTCCTTCCTCTGAAGGCCGGTGACCGAGTGACCATCACAATGCCGCTACCGAACACCCTGATACGCAAGGGAATCAATGACCAGAAGATCCTAGAGGCCACCAAGAAGATGATGGAGCTGCTGACGGGAGAGGTGAGCGGTGCCGGGGATTCTGGGACATGATCCAGGAACAGACAAGGGGTGTGTCTGGGTGGTGACGGGAGAGGTGAGCGGTGCCGGGAATTCTGGGACATGATCCAGGAACAGACAAGGGGCGTGTCTGGGTGGTGACGGGAGAGGTGAGCGGTGCCGGGGATTCTGGGACATGATCCAGGAACAGACAAGGGGCGTGTCTGGGTGGTGACGGGAGAGGTGAGCGGTGCCGGGAATTCTGGGACATGATCCAGGAACAGACAAGGGGTGTGTCTGGCTGCTGACGGGAGAGGTGAGCGGTGCCGGGGATTCTGGGACATGATCCAGGAACAGACAAGGGGCGTGTCTGGGTGGTGACTGTATCATTGTGTGTGTCAGGTTCCTATAAGGTGTCAGGATGTCTCTGTCTATCTCTCCATGGAGGAGTGGGAGTATCTAGAAGGACACCGGGATCTCTACAAGGACGCCGTGATGGAGAATGCCCCGCCCCTCACATCACCGGGTAAGAGGAGAGAGCAGTACGGAGGCTCCGCCTACATCCCCCATCATCTGATACACACATAGAAACAATGTATTCAGTCAGTGTGTGTGTTTCCTACAGATGGATCCAGTAAGAGGAACCCACCAGAGAGATGTCCCCGCCCCCGGAACCCACCAGAGAGATGTTCTAGTCCGGTGTACTCTGGAGATTCCTCACAGGAGGATTACAGATCCGCATGGAAGCTTCCGGTGAGTCGGGAGTAACGGCCTGTGATCAGAACATTTCCCCGTCTTATCTTTTGGGGGGATTTCCGGCAATGTTGTCAAGTTTTTGTGGCCCACTTGTGATTTTTTTTTTTTAGGGTGAGGAGCCGATTGACGCCAAAGTTAAGGGCGAAGAGCCGCTTGATACCGAATACGAGGGGGAAGAACCGATCGGCACAAAGTTTGAGGACGAAGAGCC